GTAGAATAATTACAATACTAGCATTGAGTTTTAGATTAACTTTGTATTAGTGTATTCCAATGACCATTACCTGTTAAAAAAGTAACATAACCAGACTAGTAATTACCAGAAATGGAATTATTTGCAGTTTTATGTATTTGTTGCTCTGACGATAAGCCAGCTGTGGACAGTTTTGAAATCTACCAATTTTTTACGTACATAATATCAGAAATTAAATTAGCGATTAATAAAGAAACGTAGCACTACATGATATCTATTTAAAATTTCATTTGTATTTAAAGAAATTAAACTATATTTATTCAAAACAAGTCATATTTCAGATGGCAAAGGATCACAAGTAGCTTGCAAGCTGCAGTTAAGATGTTGGAGAGCTGCAGTTTGACCATGTCTGGTGTATAAAAATTGAATTCAATTCAACAAAAATAATGCTCATTTTAAACTAACAGTATAATTGAAAGGTGTTTTATTCTGATATACTTTTTTCCCTAAATGAAAATGGTCAGTTTGTATCACTTAATATATAAGTTCTTCTATAAAATAAAAAAAATCTGATGTGTACACCACATGACTTCCTTGTACGGAATATTAAATTATACGCATTTTTCTTGCATTTCGTTTAAACTTATTGGATTGAATTAAACCTACTTCGCCGACAGCGCATAAACGACAATAGAATAAATGCATTCTTTAAAATTTACTCTGTTTACCATAGCGGCACTCTGGCGCTAGCTTCACTTAACAGTATTATATTCATAATCGTATTCCAGTATTATATTCATTCATATATTATTCATTATATTTCATTCATTTTCAGTATTATATTCATATATTTCCTTAACAGTATTATATTCATATTATAACTCAGAATGCACAAAATTTATATCATTTAAAGAATTATCTAATTGTTGCCACATGTTCTATTCAAATACTATAATAAATCTAAGAATGATGTATGAGAGAAATTAAGCAAGGAACAACAACAAAACAAAACAAAAAAAAATTTTTCGCAGACGATTTAGTATTTGTCATTCAATTAATTCAGTTCTCACTTTCGCGACAAGGCAAAGATACATAAAAACCCAAAATATCTGTATTGAAAATTTCTGAAGTAAATCTTAAACACTTATTTCCTCCGTTTGAAAATACATTTCCATTAATTATGGATTAAGCATGATTTGATTCGCAATAATAAATGAAAGGCGTTATCTTTCATTTATTATTGCGAATCAAATCATGCTTAATCCTCGTTGCAAAGCTAATTTTCTCTAGATTTGCAACAAATCCACTATTCTGCTGTTTCAAATGTAAACAAGCAATGGCCACCATCAAAAACCTTATTAGGCTTAGCGGCACTTAAACAACTTTAAAATTGTTGATAATTTTAAAAATATTGCATACTGATTTACTAAAGGCATAAAAACCTTAACCGGAAGATAAGAGCAACATAATTCAATAATTTTTAAAGCAAAAAATGTACAATTTACAATCATATAAGAGTAAAGAAACTGAGATCACCGAGTCAGGTAACAGAGTGGATATATATATATATATATATATACTTTTGGCACCACCGATTGCAACCAAAATACGAGGTGCACATCTGCATGTTATAGTAATCCTATATACAAAATTTCAACGTTCTGAGGCTACTCGTTTTTGAATTAGCCGAAGTATGTTCGTACAGACGCCACGAAAAATTCTCTTCAGAATTCATTTTAAAGCAGTTTTATAATTTTTTTGGAGGAAAAGAGTCTTTTATTCTGTCCTTATGTACAGATATCACGCAAATACATCGTTAAATTGCATTCGAAAGCGGTCAAAATGGATATTTTCGTTGAAATATGCTGCCTGAAACTTTTCGCGATTACAATACTTCCTTTTTACTTCGTACAAGGAAGTAAAAAGGGGGAGTGTATTATTTAATGAGTTGGCTCTAGTGTAGAATTGGTTGCCAGTTCGATTAGTGACAAATTTTAAAAAAAGTTTGGCTACGAAAACTCATTTCTGGTTACCATGATATTTTTAACATTTCCCTTCCTGATTTTTTTTAAAATGAAAATAGATTGATGTGTATGTGGACAAGTTTAAGGCAGTGTGCAATTCTGGGATGTTTTTTTAAGTGAAAAAAGATCGATGTGTACATGGACATGGAGTTTGTGCAATTCTTCGACTTCTTATTTTGGTTTCATGTAGCGTCCATCTTGAAATTGCGCCTTCCTGGTGCCAATCTTGGCGTAAAATAATAACCACCAATAAACAAGGGGCACCCAATTGTAAACTTTTACCAATGAGTTTTGATTGTAACTTTTTTCATCACATGTCACTTTCACAAGAACTGTTCAGTGTGAAAAAGTATATGAAACATTTTCATAAAATCAGTTCTGGTTTTCAGAAATTTTTTTTTTTTTTTTTTTTTTTTTTTTTGCCAAATGTATTTTTTCATAATGTTTATTATATGCAACTTTTTATATCAAATGGTAATAGGATGTTAGTCTAGTACAGCGCTGTCCAACATATCATAGCCCGCGGGCCATATTTTCTTCACCAAACATTTCAGGGGTCAAGAAGGTTGATAAATGAAAAGTCAGTTTATGTTAATTAAAAAAATATTTTGTTTATACTAAAAAGAAAACTTTAAAATATTCGTAATATATTAATGAGAACATTGTGGCCGTAATTGTTTAACAACAATATCTTTTATGTCCACATCAATATTTGTTATGGCGAGTCTAATTATGTATTCAAGAGTGGAATCTTTCAAACTGTTTCTATATTTTGACTTTATATATTTTATATCGGAGTACGCATGCTCGCAGATGTATGTACTTCCGAACATTGGTACAATTTGAAGTCCAAAATCTTTCTCTTTATCTAAAAATTTGAATATTTCTATTCCAGTTACTCCACGAGATGTAAAAAATGGGTCAACCTGCAGGTCGCATAATTCTATTTGATATTTAAGATCAACGGAGTTGATATCAATATTAATTGCATCACATAAAATAAATCAATAGACAGTTTAAAATCATCAAATTGAGAAAATCTTTCATTGAAATCTGTAATTAGCATATCCAATTTTGGTAGAAATATTTTAAAATTCGCTTCTATATCACATTCTTTCATTTCTTCATAGATGATCTCTTTGCAAGATTAAAAATGAAATAAATTATTTTGCTCCAAATTAAACCTTAACAATTTTAATTTGTTTCTAAATCCAGTAACATATTTATAAAGGCAACACACATTTTGATCTTGTCCTTGCAAGGATTTATTCAAAATATTTAAATAATTTGTAATGTCTGTTAGGAAAGCAAGTGAATAAATAAAATTTTTATCAACTAAATTTGCTGTTAAATTTTCATCGGGAATTTCTGTGAGAAAAAGATGAACTTCTTTTCGAAGTGTAAAGAATCTCCTCAAGCACTTTCCAGCACTTAACCAACGAATGTAAAAGCAGATCTCCATACTCAGTTTAAAATTCATCCAAAAATGTTTTAAATTTTCGGTGTGTAAGAGAATGATTTATTATTAAATTAATAAATCGTTAATTAATAACCGCGAATTAAATTAGTAATTTTGCAAACCTTGTCCATTACGTCTTTTAGTTGTAGGGATAAACCACATAATGCCTCCTGATGAATAATACAATGTAACATACGACATGTTATTCCTTCTTTTTGGAAAAGTCCCGCTAGCCCAATATTTTTGCCCATCATAGCTCTAGCACCGTCTGTTACAATATCAGTGCATTTGTCAAATCTGCCATATTGGCTCTACTGAACATTTTAATTGTTTGTAAATATCTTCACCTTTTGTTGTTCCGTGTAATGATTGTAATTTTAAAAGTTCTTCTGAATAATTATAGTTTTCATTTGCAGTTCTTATAAAGATCAGCATTTGACTTGTATCGGAAATGTCTGTGCTTTCATCCAATGCTACCGAAAAATAGCAGCAACTATTGATTAGGCTTTCTAATTTATTAGTGACATGCATGCTAATTTCATTTACACGTCGGCTTACAGTCTGGTAAGAAAGTGATACTGTTTGAAATTTTCTTACCATTTCGCTGTCATTAAATGCTTGAGCCATTTTTATGGCACATTTTTTAATGAATTCTCCATTCAAAAATGGCTTCTTTGCCTTTACTATTTCTAAGCAAACTTCAAACTATGCAGCTACAGATGCTTCTTGAAATTTTGGTTCTTGATTAAAATAAATCGGTTGATGATCCAGCTGTTTTTTCACTAGTGGTATTGTCATGTCTCGCGTGTACGAATGATACTTTTTTTCATGTATGAAAGATCATGGCGCTTCAAGTTATATTCTTTACACACAGCTATGATTTGTAAACATTCCAAATCTGTGGTTTACCATTCTTGTTCAGAATAAATAAATAATCTATCTCCCATCGGTCTTGAAATTCTCGATTTTCGAGGTCTATTTTTCTTTTATTAGTAGCACTCATATTCAATAATTATTTTAATAAATAAATATGAAATTAAGTTAATAATATTATAACACATTCACCCCTCAACAAATTCTAGACAAGACTGCACTCGCACAATTGCATGAGTCAACCAAATAGCGCAGGTTAGTGTGTGCTTATCGTGCGCCAAACATAAAGAACAGCCAACCAAAAATATAATATGTGGCGCCAATGTTGAGCCAACCAACATCAGATGTTAAACAGATTGTTGCTTCATTCAGCCAGGTTAAGTGAAGTTACGCAAACTAAATAGTACCTACTTTAAATTCAAATTAGATTTAAATTTTCACATATTAAAATAATTTTAATAATAATAATTTAGTATCATAAATTTATTCATAGTAAAATGTACTCGCAGGCCATCAAAATAGTTTGGCGGGCCGTATGCGGCCCACGGGCCGCCATTTGGACAGCCCTGCTCTAGTATATAGTGAATTATGATTTAATTTTAATTGAAAGCTCTGAAGTCTATGTAAAGTATGTACACTAATTTTCCTTTTAAATTCTGTTTTAGGTGGGTCGTAATTACTTTGATCCTCAAGGTGGAATACCTGTTCCAAAGCATAGGTTGGAAATTTGGCCAGGTTATGTGACAGCTGTGCAGGAATACGAAGGAGGTGTAATGCTAAATTGTGATGCTTCATTCAGAGTTCTACGCAGTGTGACTGCTCATGATTTGATGCATGAAGCATCAAAACAGAGAGGAGGTGATATGAGAGATGCAATAACTAAGGATCTGATTGGATGTGTAGTTCTTACACGCTACAATAACAAAACGTATTCTGTGGATGACATAGCATGGGACATGAACCCTTGTTCAACATTTGTTTCTCATAATGGAGGAGAAATATCATTTGTAGAGTATTACAGAAGATCATATGACATTGAAATTAAAGACATGAAACAACCTCTTTTAGTGAGTAAAACCAAAAAGAAGAAAGAAAATGAAGAAACAAAACTGATTTGTCTGATTCCTGAGCTTTGCTATATGACTGGATTAACTGATGCAATGAGAAATGATTTTAGAGTTATGAAAGATATAGCAAGTTTTACTCGTATAAATCCTACCAGTAGGCAGCTTACCTTGCAGAAATATATTGATAATGTCAATCAAAATAGTGAAGCTAAAGCTTGCTTTCTATCTTGGAATTTAGAGCTAGATCCTAGACCACTTAATTTAGAAGGAAGACTTCTAAAGTCTGAAGATCTAAATTTTGGAAGAAACAATGTAATACATGTAAGTCCTGAAGCTGACTGGGGACGACAAGCTGTTACGACCCCTGTTCTAGTCCCTGTCAATTTTGAAAAGTGGGTCATTGTGTTTCCTAAACGAGAACAAGGTAAAATTCGAGACTTTATAAAAATGCTTCGTACTGTTTGTCCTGCTATGGGTATAAATGTTAATCCACCACAAACAGTAGAATTGGTCAATGATCGTACTGAAAGTTATTGTGAAGCTTTGAGAGGAGTAATTAATCCAACTGTTCAAATTGTTGTTGTTGTTTTTCCTACCCCAAGAGATGATCGTTATAGTGCAGTTAAGAAGTTGTGTTGTATAGAAATGCCTATACCTTCCCAGGCCATCAATTTGAAAACCATTAGTGATGTTCGCAAATTAAGAAGTGTTGTTCAGAAAATAGCTCTTCAAATGAACTGTAAGCTAGGAGGAGAACTCTGGTCCATACACATTCCGTTGGACAATCTAATGGTTTGTGGTTTGGATACCTATCATGATATGACAAGAGGCCGAAGATCTGTTTTAGCTTTTGTGGCAAGTATAAATCAAAATCGCACTCGATGGTATAGTATGACTACCATGCAGAAAGCTGGCCAAGAAATGGGTGATTCTCTTAAAATGTTATTTATTTCAGCTCTTCGAAAATATTTTGAAATCAATCATAAGCTCCCAGATAAGATAATTCTCTACCGAGATGGGGTAGGGGATGGACAGATGGATTATGTTGCTAAATATGAAGTTGAGCAATTGACATCTTGTTTTAAGCATTTCTCAGTGGACTATTCTCCCACATTATCTGTTATTGTAGTACAAAAACGTATAAATACAAGAATGTACACCATAATGCCCCAGACAAATACTTTAGAAAATCCTCCGCCAGGATCTATTCTGGATCACACAGTTACCCGCAAAAAGTGGTATGACTTTTTCCTAATTTCTCAACATGTACGACAAGGCACTGTTTCTCCGACACATTATGTTGTGATATATGATTCCAGTACACTTAAGCCAGAGCATGTTCAAAGGGTTACTTACAAGATGACCCATATGTATTATAACTGGCCTGGCACAGTGAGAGTTCCTGCGCCTTGTCAGTATGCGCACAAACTGGCATACTTAGTTGGTCAGAATTTGCATAAAGAGACTCATGTAGATTTATGTGATCGCTTATTTTATTTGTAATTCCAGCCTTCTAAATAAGCGTGTGGGAAATAACTTTATACCAAAGTGCCATTATTTCATTCCAGAGTTTATAGTACTATAGTCCAAGTGTAAAAAGCATTGTTTACTGAAATTTATTTTTTTCTACCTCAGTCATAACAAGAAGTATAAAAGTGTTCACTTTTAGAGCATTCAGTGACTAAATTTTGTAAAATCTCATTTTGTCTTCCTTATTTGATACATTGTGTTTGAAGGGACAGTAGTTAAGAGCAAACTCTGAATATTTTAACATTTTCATGTGTCTCATGTTCCAAGTATGAACATGTTGGCTATTTTATACAAATTGTTAAAATTTTTTTAAATGTGTTTTAAGTTAAAGCATATTAAAAAATCTTTGAAAATTTTGTCAGTGTTTAAGTTGGAATTGCAGTTTAATTTTTGTTGCTTTTTAAAAGTGATGCATCAGTTTTTAAGTTTTTATTCTGAAGTGTAAAATTTTATATTAAAATTGTATTGCCACAAAATTCTGTTGTTACTGTTTATCATCACAAAGATGTTTTTCTTAAAAGTCCATATTCATGATATAACATTCACAGTTTAGTGCATTAAAATTAATTAATTATCCTGAACAACTCAGGTACAGAATAGTGTGTCATGAAATGATTATGAAATTTGCCAGAATGATAATATGAGTAAAAAATAAATTTGTTTTTAAGAAGTATAATGCTTATGTGTAAATAATCTTTATTATTTGTAAGTTTCACTTCTTTATGCTAGTATGGTTTTTGAATGATTTTAAATGAAACATTGGTTTTATGTCTGGGTATTTTAAATTTTAATTGTTGAGGGCTGGCTGGGAAAATGTATGGCTATTTGTTTTTCTAAAATGCAATACTTTTATATGATGGCCTAACTTTAAGTTCGCATTTTTTTGAATATATAAATTTTTATAAACATAAAAAAGTAAATTTTTTAGAAGGAGAATCTAACCTTTTGTGTATTATTTTCTTCGTTTCGTGGCACAGCTCTAATCTTAATAATTTTCTAAATATTTTTTTTTTTTTTTAACTTGGTGCTTACATTTTATCTTGTTGACCATGAAACTGCCACCAAGTATCATGATTTAGTACCAGTTATGGATAATCATGGACGTAACAACTCGCTCAAAACATCTGTGCTTTTGTTGGATGCAACCTCAATTGATTCTTGATAAGCTACTTTTGATTTTAATGAACAAGAATATAAATTTATTGTTATGGAATCCTACCTTAAAAAGAAGTGTATATTAATGGGTATGATACATCTGAATATGGATATCAAAGCAGTAATAGACTAGAATAGTTACCTTTGAGAAGTTTGTAGTCATAACATTTTACGCAGAGCTTCCAGTAAAATCGGAAGTCTTAACAAAAAAAGTCAAAGTTGTTGAAAGCCTTTTTTGAAAGTGAAAAAACTAAGCAGGGCAAATATTAATTGCTTTTTAAATTAAAAAAAAATCAGTTCCTTCAAAATTCACAGGGACAATAGAAACAACTTTCGTCATTCGATATTAGCTAATTTTTCCTCACCAAGACCTGTAACATCGCTGAATGCTTTAGCAATATGCAGTGAGAAAAATATGCTACTTTGAAATAACTTCTAAAGTTTCTAAAGAGAGTACAGAGTTTGAAATCCAGATGTCCGGTATCTGAAATGATTTAATAACTGGACTTGTAGACCACCAGCACAAAAAAGGACAAAAAATTCTGCCTTCAGAAGTAGCAAATCTAAGCATCCCCCAAAATTAATCACCCTCTCCAAATGCAAAATCTGGGAGCACCATATTTTACAGCATACTAGTGGGCAAGCCTGCCTGATGAGGGGGCTACGGCCAAGGGAATATTAAGTTCTATGTACTAAAAAACTGAAAATAAAATTAATTATTAATTTAAGGTCCTGTATACAAAGTTACTAGCTGCGACCAAAGCAAAATTTATGAGTTCTATGTATACCTGCTAATAAAATGCATAAAAACATTTCAGTATGAATGAAATCATTTCATTCTTTCCAAGCAACAACCAATTCGTGAATAATTTTTTTGTTGCCAAACCAGGAAACAAAAGTATTTCAATTATATATAATGGCCTAGTTTCAATTTACTGTAATATAACAGCATTTTCTTAATATCAATTAAAGAATTGATGTGGCAGTAATATATCATGTCAATTATTCTAATATGAAACAAAGGGTTACCAACAGCAACTAGTTATTCAAAATGCTGACATTTACTCAAAATTTTCAATGTACAGTGACGTTACATGCAATTGCACGCTTTCTTCAATGTCAGAATATAACCTTATAATATATTTAATGTTTAGCAGAGCTATTTTTGTTTCATATTTTTAAAACACAAAAATTCTTTATTAACACATTCCCTGCCAGACCGTTTTTTGAAGACTTCCCGTTCAGGCCGTGCGCCCCACGCTTTACATTTGTATTATTTTGTTTCTAACGTATGTCTTGCAATAATTAAAATAGTGCAAAAATCATAATTATCAAGGAAAGGTTGTATAGTTTAACATGCATAACACAACAAACCAATAAATTTATTTTTCTAGGAATTAGTTAACAAATACCTGGCTGAACATTACTATGCCAAGCAAGTTGCATCCTCACATATAATTTTTTTTATCGTACGTATATCAGTTTTAAATGAGGGCATCAGCAGTAGTATTAAGATGCCCATAATTGACTGCATAATAAATTTAAAAAAATTCTTCATTTTACAATGATAATACCAAATGGCTTGAACGGAAAGTTTAGCGTTGGGCACATACAGCCCACGCGGCAGGGAACGTGTTAACAAACTATGATTTGAAAGCGATTAGTGGCAAAATGTCGAAATAAAGCAGATTTTCATCTCCAGCTTACACAACTGTTGCCACTCTGAAAAAATTAGTGCGAAAATTAGCATTTTTGGAGTTTTTAATTAATATTTTGGCTGAGTAAAGTCTTATGAAGATGAAAATGGTCAAAATGGCTTCCCACGAATTTCTAAAAACAGGGTACTTCTCTCGAAACTCAACTCCCTGCCGTTCTGGAGGAGATAATGCCATTAACAGACAGACATGCACAGATTTTAATAGTATAGATATTTGTACATCATATTTTCTAACTGAAATTAAACCCTTTTAATTTTTTGTGAGCAATAATCGATATTCATTCAGTGTAAACAATTCTGAGTTTACATACTTCAAATTTGTTTCTAAATGCATTTTCCAAATAAGCCTACTTAAACCACAGGTTTATCGTAACTTTCCGAATAGCTGCAAATTTTTAAAGACATGTCACCATATTGTTTTTTTTGGGGGGGGAGATATATAGCTTATTAAATTGTTGCCAGTTCAGATTGTCGCATTTCTTAAAATTTGCTAATTAGTAATTTAAGGCAATGTAAATCTTTACATGCTTACATGTAAATTCTTCTTTATCACATGTAAAAATATAATTATGAAGTATTTAGTACTTCAACAACGTTTCTAATATTAAATAATAGCTGAATTATATAAAGATTATTAAATTTTGACCAATAGTGCATTCTTGACAGTTGATAGATTGGAAAGAGGAAAAATGTTTCTCTCATGCTGTGCACAGGTTTTACGCAAAATAATTGGCTTGCTTCTAAGAATATATTTGTGTGCAAAGGTACATTCCGACGGTGATGTGCAAACAGAGAACTTCATTACTAAGCAGCAGAACATGAAACAAGACATAAGACTCGTGGCTTAGAATTTCATTCTTCAAATAGTTTGGCCCTGAAACTTTGTAATTCTTAAAGTGAGATAGAGATATTTTTTTATTATTCCAGAATGCTTCTTCCGGTGCATACCTAGACTCCATTAACTTCTATATGTTTTATTGCTTTAATATTTTGGAAACTTTTCAAGATTCATATCTGTGTACTTATTTAAAGATATTAAGACAAGTATTTTGAATGTATATGTATATATCTTTATTTAAGGGCTGAAAAGTTTTAATATTATGCTACTTATGTCTGCACCCCCAGTTTTTTTTTTTTTTTTTTTTTTTTTTTTTTTTCCCCGCCATAGCAATCACATTGAGAATTCATGGTGGCACTCAAACTGAAATATACTTGTATATAGCTATTAAACATATCTGATTGCATTTTTTCTTAACCACTTGCGCTAAAAAGACGTGCCATGCACGTCGAGATGCTTTTTTCTCAAACCGCGAGCGACGTGAACACCACGTCGATAAGCATTTATCGCAAAAATGAAAATAATGTGGTGCACATGTCGCCTAACAATGAGATTGTTTATTTCACGAGTTACAGCTCTGGATTGCATTCGCAAATGCGGTGCGGCGTAAATGAGACACTTTACCGCTTGTTATATTGTAGCACACGGCACTGCAACCGTGAAGTTTAGTCGTAGCGCAAGTGGTTAACTAAGGTATTTAAAGAACTTAGCTTATTATTATTATTATTAGTATTGTTTACTCCAGATTATCCAAGTGCTGTCTATCAGAATTTTTTGTTCTCTGTAAGCCTGGTAGAACAGAACTTTAAAATTTTATTTGCATGTTTTTAGTTTTTTCATTGGTTTTTAAATAACATAAAAGAGATACCAGTGCGGTGCATCTACTTTTAAAGAACTGTGGAATTCATTTTGATGATTATATACTATATAGATTAATGTGCAGCTTTCATTAAAAAAAAACTTTCATTAAATAATTCAAGATTTTAGGATATCATGTAAATATTAATGGGGGGAAAGTGCATATTATGATTAAGCTTAATATTATGAATAAGCTTTTTCAGGTTAAATAACTTAATAAAAGATAACAGCACAGTGTATCTTCTTTTAAAGAACTGTGGAATTCATTTAGATGACTACATACAGTTAGGCTATACGTGTATAAAAGTTACATTATAAATTATTATATTTTAGTTAAATAATTTGAATTTTTTGAAAAGGTTTATTTTGTCTTGTGGAACTGAAAAGTATGTTTAAATGTTATAAATAGTAATGTTTGTTGAAATGAAATTCAATACCTGTTCTGCCTCCTCCCCAAAAAAATCCCTTGGGGACATAATGATAAATAGATGTTCAGCCTACTGAAAAGAGGCAATTCATTTAATTATCAGGATTGGTGTTATTGATGCATAGAATGTACCATGTTCTCATGTGTATAAGCCACATCCTTAGTTTTTATCTAATTAAAAAAATAAATAAATCTTGAGGATAAGCCATGCATAGCCTGTTTACCATTTATAATACTTTTTCATTTGGGAAGTGTGAAAGCTGATGAAATGTGAATGCGACTTAACCATACATTTAGTCTTTAAATATGTGCTGCTATGTAGCCACATGTTTGTACTTATTTCTAATCATTTATATGTATAAGCTTCACCTTGATTTCCATCTGGTTTTTTGTGAAAAAGTGTGCCTTATTAAGGGGTATCAGCAACCCCTATACCGACAATGTTAAATTGGCCATTTTCGATGTACCTTTTCTCAAAATCTGCTGGAGATACACGCTTGATATTTTTTGTGTAGTTAAAGTATACGTATCTGATTATACTGAAATAAGCTTTTTAAACATTTTGAATTTTAGAGTAATTTACAGAATATTTTGTTAGGCATAGTAAAATTTAGCATTTTTGTCACACAAAAAAATTTTTAATATTTTTTCCCCTTGGTTTATCACAAAAAGCAATTT